CCGGTCCTGTTTTGATGGTGTCCCGGTCATGTTTTGATGGTGTCCCGGTCATGTTGTGATTGTGTCCCAGGCATGTGATGGTGTCCCGGTCATGTTGTGATGGTGTCCCGGTCATGTTTTGAAGGTGTCCCGGTCATGTTGTGATTGTGTCCCAGGCATGCGATGGTGTCCCGGTCATGTTGCGATGGTGTCCTGGTCATGTTTTGATGGTGTCCCGGTCGTGTTGTGACGGTGTCCCGGTCATGTTTTGATGGTGTCCCGGTCCTGTTGTGACGGTGTCCTGGTCATGTTTTGGCGGTGTGCCGGTTATGTTTTGATGGTGTCCGGGTCATGTGACGGTGTCGCGGTCATGTTGTGATAGTGTCCCGGTCATGTTGTGATGGTGTCCCGGTCATGTTTTGATGGTGTCCCGGTCGTGTTGTGACGGTGTCCCGGTCATGTTTTGATGGTGGCGCGGTCATGTTGTGATGGTGTCCCGATCATGTTTTAATTGTGTCCCAGTTATGTTGTGACGGTGTCTCGGTCATGTTTTGATGGTGCCCTGGCCATTTTGTGATGGTGTTCCGGTTATGTTGTGATGGTGTCCAAGGAAGAGATGGTCGATGTGTTGAAAACAGCAGCTGTTTCCAGATTTTTCTTTTTGTCTCGGTTTGTATCTTGCTATTGGGGTCTTTAGCTGGGCTAATTTTCTGGGAGTCGGCCAGAAGATCCATATCATCACAGCTTGGTCTTCAAGTGGATCTTGGGTCCGATCCTGTGGCTTCTCACTCACGACCGTTTCTCCGGTGATCTCCGGACCGTTTGGAGGGAGAAACACGCACGACGGACTGAGGCAGACGTGCGAGACCCTGGTCGTGCGGCGGCGGCCACTGGTTCCGGGCGATGTCGCTCGGAGCGCGTAGCTGGCAGAGCGTGAGGAGCGTGAGTGATCTAGCCCGGTACCATGCACAGGTGCCTTCCATTGTGTTGGGGGGTCTTTCTTCTGAAGGCCTATGATGTTTGGGGATTTGACTTAGGCTGAGAACATACTGTCTTCAGAACAGGAAGAGAACCTCTAGCTCCATAGAAAGCTAGGTCCCAGACAATTGTTTCGTGCTGGCCTACTGTGGCTGGACTGCGGAGCAACTCTTCTGTGGGTGTGAAGGCTGTTGTCTCATGTTGGTGGAAGCGTTCAAGGATCGTTCTGCATATGTGGTCGAACACCCCAGTCACCAGGAGACCGACACTCCAGAGAGAGGTGTTCTTTTGTGTTTTGTTTTTTGTTTTTTGTGTTTTTAATCTTTTTCTTTGAAACACGTACCTGAAAAGGACCTGTCACCTGGGGTACCTATCAGATAGTCTATCAGGTTCTTCAACCATCATCCAGCTGGTTTTGACAGGTTGGCTTCACCATCCCGAAGTCTCCTTGGTGGCTATCCCGCACATGATGAGCGCCATTCACGGCTTCGCCGAAGCGGCGCGGCTGGTGGGCATCTTCTCGGGCACCTTGAAGTCCGGCGAGTACACGTGGGCGGGCGCGCTGGCCACTTGGCGTTGGCGAAACACAGCGGCCTGGAGCGCGGCCTGGAACGAAACAGAGCGGCCTGTACGGACGTTGGGGGGTTTCTCCGGGGCTCAGGCTGTTGACTCACATCAGTTTGTTTGACCCAGGCCGTTGGATTGGTCATGAACGTGCTGGCTCGATGTGGATGGACGCGGTTCTTTGCCTACTGCATGCTGAAACGCCTGGTGGGGCTTCCAAGCGCTTTGGTTTTGGCACCATCGGCGTATGGCAAACTCTTTGATGAAATCAAGATCTACGTGGGATGCCTGGCATTGAAAACTCTGGAGGCTCCATGTTTGAATATATGACCCCTGAAAACCTTTGACAAAGTGGAGGGAACTATGCCATATGTGGAGTGTCTTGGAAAGGTTCCTTTTTTTTGCTCTTTTGCTATAGAGCTTTGTTCCTCCCTGACACCTGCCCGAGGATACTTCAGATTTCCAGCTGTTCTGGCCCTCTTGCTGGCGAGAGGGATTGTCTATCAAGATTTCTCTCTCTCAGGGCCGCATTCTGCAGCATTCAACGCTTCTGCACTCTGTGCATTACTTTGTATGCCGGAAGAACATGCCAAAGCTTCTGTTTTTGGGTTTTGTTTTTCTGGGTGGCCCTTCCCCTGAACTGATTTATATAATCGTTTTCTTTTGGGACGTCCAACGAGTGCGAGACCAATGAGTGCGAGATCGATCGAGATGTCCCATGCGATCCCAGGTGTCGAGGTCTCTGTTTAAACAACTGGGGAAACTCACATTTAAACAACAAGCACGCACAAGCACGCACACTCTGACATTGGTTTTCAGTTAACTCAATTTCCCGAGAAAAGGAATGGCTCAACGGCAAGGTGAAGAGTCCGATCAAATTGAATGTGTTTTCAACAAAAGGTTTGTGCGCATCTGCAGACTCGCGACAGCAGCGGACGAGCGGCGGACGGCAGCTGAAAGGCGGCTGTGGGAAAACCTGTTTGTGGGGAAGGTATCATGCGAAACCACCATGAATCAAATCGTGGAAAAGTAGGGTCACAGCTTGTGGACAACTCAGCAGGTACACACTGAGACGTCTCTCAGTGCTTCCCGTGCGTCAGGTAGCTTCGTTGGACATGGTCCCTGAACGCACGCCATGTCCCCCTGCCTCGTTGAGTGGTTGTAGTGAAAAACAGTGGCATTGAACCCTTTGGTACAGGGGGTGACACACACACACACAGGTCGCCGTGATCGGCGCTTTTTCCTTTCAAAAACCGGCTGCAAGCTATTGAGTCGTGTCCTTTTTGGACGTAGAGTTTCACAAGTTATGTAGTGTAAAGGTGGTAGTTGTGGAAGTTGTGGAAGTGTGAAAGGTGGTAAGTCCATGCAAGTCGAATTAAGCGTTCGAAATGAATCAAATCACTCAACTTGAGGAGGAAAACCACGAAAATCAACGTTCACAACTTATACAAGCCCGATGATGCAGGGTGAAATCTGCTGGTGTCCCGTCTTTTGGCCCGGCGGCCGTGGAGGCAGTAAATTCAGTTAAGGTGGAGCCAGTAGTGGATTCCGGTGAAGGTGGAAAAGCTCAGTTACACGATTTCCGGCATGAATTCAGCGCCCCAGTGACGGGGATCACACTCAGCACCCGAGTGGGACGGCTGAGCGAAACACACTCTGACATTGGTTTTCAGTTAACTCAATTTCCCGAGAAAAGG